TTTATTATCATTAACTTACTTTGCCCTCACATACAAGCGCAAGGTGGTTCACAATCATTTATTAAACGCTTCCGCTATTACATCATCCTACTCTTGAGTTCTGCCCTGCAAAGATCCTAAGGGCTTTCTCAGCCCAACACCAGATGTGTCTCGAGGTGTAGGTTATGTCAGCCCTTAGCACATCTGCAGAACAGGCACTAGAACTCCCCTTGTACTGTGTTAGGAGGCAAGTCTTAGCACCTTCAACAAAACAAATATGCCTCTAGGGTTGGATTTCATTGCACTCAGCTGGAACACTACCTAATTGCAACCCAATATATGTACTAAATCAGCCAAACCAAAGTTAGTAAGCCTGTGGGGTAGAGCCACATCACACCAGGCACTAAGTGAACCCCTTACAAGCCATCTCAAAACCGCCCTGCGTGTCAGCTCTGCACCATGCTATACACAAGCCCTATAAATGAGCGCCATTATACGTGGGAAAAATAACTGTCACCGAATCACATCGCCATGAGTTGCTGTTGTTGCTCTTGCTGCTGCTGCATGTTCCCTTCTTGAGGCACTTGCACTTGCTGCTGCTGTTGCTGCTGTTGTTGCTGCTGCTGTTGCTGCTGCTGTTGCTGTTGTTGCTGCTGCTGCTGTTGCTGCTGCTGCTCGCCCCCACCCATGAGCTGCCCTCCTCCCCCACCGCCCATGCCCATGGCATGGTTAGCAACGAGCGTCTCAACATAGTCCGCTAGCACCTGCTCATACAGCTTGCGCAGCCGCTCCAGTGCCCGCTCCTTCTCCTTCTCCGTTGCACCGTCCAGATGAAACGTCTCCGCTATGAAGCGCTGGAAGCCGTTGATCTGCTCAAACTGCACCAAGGAAGGGGACAGGGATGGCGAAATGCATATCAGTGACCAAAACGCTTAGAAAACGCACACACGAAGAAGGCAAAGTGTCTGGATTTCCTGTCAAACGAACGATTTTCCCGGTCAAGCAGGGCGCACTGACCTGGTCCTTGCCTCCGGCCTCAAAGGCGATGCGGCAGAGCAGCGGGATGTCGACCTTGTGGCCCACGACCTGGGGCTTGCCGGTGGGCACGGGCTTGTTGTTGGTGCGCAGGTACTCGTACACCGCCCGCGTTGAGAACTTAGCGTCCGGCCCTATGGGGTCCATAAACGTGTCTGCTGCAGGGGGAGCACATGGAGGCACGGCAATGGGGGGGGAGGCGAGTGCAGGGGCAGGGCAGTGGTGGTTCAATGCAAGGGGAATCAGGTCCTTTACTGGCCTTTTGATAAACGAGTGCAAATGCATGGGAGTGACATGGAGGCACGGGCGGTGACTCGGCCTGGGGTTGATGGAAGTTTTGATGATTACAGTCGCAACCAGGCGACTCACCTTGCACGCGTTTGGGCGTGGTGCCGACTTCGATGCCCATGGGCTCGGACAGCTGGCGCTCGGACCAGCCGGGCTCGTAGGCCTCAAGGAAGGCCTGCTTGGCGCGGTTGGGCAGGTCATGCGGGTGCACAAAGGGCACGTTGGCTGGCCACCCCAGCTGCAGCCGCAGGTACGAGCAGGGCGGTTCGTCCATGGCCATGTGCTGCTCCTCACACTCCTGGTAGATAGGGCAGAAGCGGCAGGAAACGCAACATGAGACGCACAGAGCAAACCCCACTGTTGTCAATTAGTGGCACAGTTGATGAGCCAGCATTCCAGCCTGTAAGAGGATGCAACAAGGTGATGCCCTTGCACGCAGGGCGGCAGGCTGACCTTGAGGTTGCAGAATCGGATCTTGATGCCCTTGGCGTCCGCCAGGTCCTGCACCTTCTCCTTGAGCACGCGCTGTGCCTCCATGCGCAGCCGCTTCGACGGCGCCAGCGACCGCCCGTCGCTGCCCATGATGCGATGCTTCTTGCGCCGCCGCACGTTTGGCGACCCTGCAAGTGCCACGCACACAGCCCCAGTCAGACAGGTCCTGAGAAGTAATGCATGGCGAGGCAAGGCGCCCATGTTCATGGGGCAGAGCGGCCCAGTGTATCTTTCCATCACACTCAAACGTCATCCCGGTAGAATCCCACACTTTCGGTTCCAGGCATCCAGCGCGCACCTGGTTCGACCATGGGCATGGCGGCGCCCATGCCCATGGGGCGCAGCAGCCCGTTGTACGAGGCAGCGGCGATCTGATCAATGGGGTGCTGCCGCAGCATGAAGTCCTGCACCGCCACCGGCTGCTGGAACGGCCCCGCGATCGCGTGCCCCGAGGCCGCCATGGCGGAGCAGTGGATGATGGAGGAGGCGCGCGGCAGCAGGCGGAAGAACACGGACGCGCGCCCCTCCGGCACCTGCATGCCCACCGACGCGCTCGCCAGGTCCGTCTTGTACAGCGCTGGGCTCACGTACCCGCCTGTGGCCTGGTATGGGGGGATCGCCGGGCGGAGGACGAGATGAAGACAACGCACGCCACCCACACGCGATACCTACTACGGACAGAAACGACAAGAACATGAAGGGGAAAAGGGTGACGCTGATGGAGTCCTGGGTTGATAATGTACCTGATATAGAGTTAACCCCGTAATGAGTATAAGGTCGTTGGGGCCGAGGTTGGCGTCTGCTAGGAGCCATTGGTTCTGCGGGTCGCGGATGTACAGCCCAGGGCGGTCCGACTTGATCAGAGTCACCAACCCCTTCTCCGCTCGCGCCTCGGCATCCTCCGGGGGGATGAGGAGAGGACCCTTGTCGTCCATTGCTGGGTCCATCATCGTCTCGCTGCTCATCCAACGGTCACCATGTCAGAATGGGATCAGAGAGAGGGCACAGGCACGAACATTGACGAAATGGACTGCGAGGAAAAGGTGCACGGACGGAAATTTGTTGGGGTTGGGGGTGAGGGACGGGGGAGGGGAGAGGGTGGAGGGGGTGCGGGAGGGGGGGAGGGGGAGGTGGGGGTTAAATATGATCTGGATATTTACTTGGCAAAGCGGCGTCCATGGCAGGTGACTGAGAGCACGGAGGAGGAGATCTCGTTGGCCTTGAGGGGAACGTTGTCCAGGAGGTCCGTGAACGTGTACGAGCGCAGGTCCAGCGACCTGCCTATCGCCTCCAACACCGTTCTCGAAGTCTTTCCCATGCTTCCAAACGCATCTGTTACATCGAAGGGGAACAAAAATAGGAAAACCAGGCACACACACACAAAAGAACAAACAGGTGGAAGTTAGACGGAAGCCGAAGCACCACTTCTTCAAATGCAGAAATGAGGCGAGCAAGCAACGGACCTGGTAGGCATGACGGAGGAATGGAATCTTCTGGAACAGCGCTGATTGGTGTTGCGCCTGGTCGGAACTCGTACACCTCCTTCCCCACATGCGGTTCGCAGTAGTACCCTGCGGTTCGGTTCCACTCCTGGGGGTCGTCTGCGCTCGGAATGGACTGCATTGCAGGGGACGGTCGCCGCTTAAACTGCACAGACGAGACAGTTGTCAGGTAGGCTAGTGCAGGAAAGCTGTGCTAAACGGAAAGGTCCGTGGAGCTTGCCTACCTGGAAATAAACGCGCGAGGAGTCTAGCGTGTATCGGACCAGAGCTTCATCGCCAGGTGGCATCTGAATGATTGCTGAATCACAGATTATAAACGTTGTGTTTCTGTCAGTAAAACTGCTGCCTTCCAGAGCTACGATACATACGCGGCGACAACGTTGAGCACTTACCGTAGTTGAATCGAGCTAGTGAGCTCATTAGAGTGCCTAGGGCCATGCGATAAGTCTCATGCGGTAGGCCATCACGAGGAATTAAGTCGACTGCTCTAACCGAAACTGGGTTGCCTGCTGACATAATCATGTGCGGCGGAGGCATGGCGGGAAAGGCTATCATCTTCGCCCGCTCGTCCTCGTACGCCATTCCCGGCATTTGCATCATCTTGGCGAAATTGCACTACTATCTAGCGGCGGTGATGGATTCGACACTCCGCGAATGAAAACTTGAAATAGCTTGTTCTCGAACGAAGACCTGAAGACACGTGTAAAAAGAGGAGCCATCGTCGTCAAGCTCAAGCTGTGGAATAACCCCTAAACAGGTATGCCAAATTCTAAAAGCTTGGTACAAGAGCAAGCTGAAACTAAGTTTTGATTTGCCTAATGGATCCCTACCTTGATATGTGGGAAGGGGGTGCTGTAATTATTTTTTTCCCCAGCTCGAAAGGTGGCGGCTGAAACTTTCAAAAAGCTCTGCGGAAGACTAGAGAAACAAAGCTCGGAAGGACAAGTGAAAGCTAGGGTCCCTGAAAAAAATAGTTCACCACAGAAGTGGCAGAGGCGAAGAAAGTTTGAGCGAGCAGGAGAACGGGAGCGTGGGAGGCTAGGGTTTCAAGAGCAACAAGGAGGACAGCTCAAAGCCACGTATTATCCGTCCGATTCAAAATTCATCATTTTCAACCGTCAGATGCAACAGCATCTCGGTGCTCTTGAGGGGTTCAGCAAACGTGGAGCTGCCCTCATGCTCCAATTGACCACCTTCCACACAACACACAAACTCCTCGCTCGAAAAATCAAAACGACGAAGGTTGAACCCTCCGTCCGATAGTTTGAATCGGACGGTCTTCCATGGGTTACTCTCTCGAACAAGGTTGTTGGGCAGGAGTGACGATCAGCTGAACAACGCTCCAATGCTTTTTGCGTGAGACTGAGAAAAAAACTCGTTCACAAACAATTTCACTACTCTTCAGGTTGGGCTAAATGAGTGACTACACCGCCAAATCATATATACATTGAACTTTGATTACCACTCTAGATAGACCTGATGAATGGTCATGGGAGGAGACAAATGCGCCGCTCGAGATCGATGTCAAGTGGAGCAAAGAATTATGGTACAAACAGCTTGTATGTACCACACTGCTATGCACAACTTGCTTGATGTTTGACACAACTTCTGTCACACTCTCTTCTCTTGGTACACTACAAGATAACTTTCAAGATTTCATACATAAATGAGAGGCTTCATGTAACAATCAGATACATCAATTCGTCATGGAGGGGGGCCACTGTTTCCAAACCTAGAGAGCACAAACTGGTCAAGCTCTCTCTGCCGCCCGTCAAAAGAGGATGTTGGCGGGTTACCAGGCAACGACCGCATGCACTGTAGAATGAGATCCACGTCCCGGTACATTCTGTACAGCTCAATGAAGGCACAGGGAAAAGCATGGAGAAGCTTTGCTAAGAAAGTGTAGCTCTGCATGCTGCACGAGACGCCCAAGACCAGGAGAGTTACAATAACACATGGAAGAACGTGGGTGCTTAACAGGAAAGAGCATACAGAGAGACCATGCAGAAGCAGAAATGCATAAAATGAAAAGAACACTCTCCCACCCACATTGGGCTGCGAAGCAGGCATGAGCAGACTTCAAAGCCACTTCAACAACGCACGAGTGCATCAAGCAACCCTCTTTCCCCCCCACCCTCCTCCTCCCTCCCCCACTTCCCCTCTGACCTGCGTTTGGCCTGCGGTGTGGGTGTGTCGATCTTGGCAAAGGAGTCGGCGAGCTGCACGTGGAACAGTGCCACCACCCGCCTGGTGTGTTGTGCGCCCACACACACACACGTGCGTGCGCACACCCACAGGACAGGCACAAGGGGCAAGGAGAGGAGAGGAGAATAAATGAAGATGAGGCGTGGTTGATGGCAGGTTGAGAGGGGGAGGGGCATGGCTGAGAGACCGGAGGACGAGAAGGGGAATGCGGGTATGGCAGCACTTGTGGCACGGGGATGTGAGAGGAGTGTGAGGACAAGGGTATGACAGCATATGTGGGAACGGGAATTTCGCAGCAAGAGACAAGATAGGAGTGTGCCTGGAAATGAGGTCTGCCTGTGGGAACAGGGAACGAGAAGCAACGCTGGGAATGAGGGGCCACCAATGCTATGGTACAGTACAGCACAGTACAGTATGGTACAGTACGGTACGCACGAGAAGATGGAGCGAAGGTCGGCCTCGAGCAGCAGAGGGGAGAGGATGCGATGCAGCACGCCCACCTCCTGGCGGGGGGGAGATGGCGGGGGTGAGAGCGTGGGGGTCACAGGGTCGGGGTAAGATGGTGGGGGTGTGATGGTGGGGGGGAGATGGTGAGGGGAGATGGTGAGGGGAGATGGTGAGGGAGGGTGTGGCTTAGAGCGGTTTGGTTGATTGAGACAAGAAGGAAGCAGAACAAACGAGAGGCTGTACGATCTGACACTCACTGACAGGAACAGAGTATCATCAGGCACAACAGCTACAGCATGCGAGGCATGAGGGGCATGCGAGGCATGAGAGGCATGAGAGGCATGAGAGGCATGAGAGGCGAGAGTGGGTGAGAGGAATAAGAGGCATGCCTTGGTGAGGGCGCGAGCGAAGTTGGAGGGCTGCTGCTCGGCAGGGGAGTCGTCCGGGCGGCAATAGGTGTCAGCAACTGCGGGCAGCGAGCGCATGTGCACCAGCAGGCGCTCCCTCATGATCGCCACCAGCTTGCTGTGGATCTCGTCCCTGTGCACCCTGTAGTCCTGGTGGTGCCGTGCGGTGAGGTGGGGTGGGGTGGGGTGGGGTGTGGCATGGTGTGGTGATGGTGGTGGCACATGGGATACATGACAGGAAGGCGAAAACGACGCTGAGGGAACAGCCAAAACTTAATATGAAATTGGATCTGGAACGACGAGCAGGGGGGGCATGCAGCATGCAGCCTACCTGCGGGCATGCAGCCTACCTAATGGTGATACCAGTGGCATACCTGAGCCACACGGTCGAGGTGCGTTATGACGAGCCCTCGCCGCGCATCCGGGATGAATGCAGAGAGAATGCGCCGCAGGTCTGGTGGGACATGGGGACGGGGGTGATGGGGGATGGGGAAGCACGTGGGTGTGATGAGCGCATGGGGGATGAGATGAGGGCAAGGAAAAACAACACAGTAGCAATACGAATGCGAGACGCAGACGGGGGCGCATGCAGAGCAGTGATGAGAGTGCAGTGATGAGAGTGCAGTGATGAGAGTGCAGTGATGAGAGAGCAGTGATGAGAGTGCAGTGATGAGAGAGCAGTGATGAGAGAGCAGTGATGAGAGAGCAGTGATGAGAGTGCAGTGATGAGAGAGCAGTGATGAGGGAGCAGTGATGAGAGAGCAGTGATGAGAGTGCAGTGATGAGAGTGCAGTGATGAGAGTGCAGTGATGAGAGTGCAGTGATGAGAGTGCAGTGATGAGAGTGCAGTGTGCAGGTCAATGTTGCATGCAGCAGCTGGCAGGGGTGGAGAGCGCAGAGGAGCAGATGCACTGGTGCTGAGCTGATGAATGAAGGCTTGCTAGCCCATGCATTCACGTGTTCCGCTGCAGGCTAGCCTTCTGATATAGGCAGCTGAGCACGTCAGTCTCTTGTGACTATACTAGATGGTTGACTCACCGGGGATAAGAGCATAGACGAGGGAGATGCATTGACTGGAGAGTGCGAGGTGCTTCGCTGTAATGGTCTTCAGCCCTGACACCTGTGGGCAGGGAGGCAGACAGGGAGGTAAGGAGGGAGGGACGGGAGCAGCATGGGAGCAGCCCCAATCTCATATTTGTTAATGCGACAGCATCGCTAAGCGCCTACACAATGGCCAGAAACATGGACTGCAACGCCTACCTGCACTGACAGCCCTACCCCACCTGCATGGCGCCAGCACCCAGCACGAGCTGGCAGGTGCGCGAGTTGAAGAGCTTCAGCACGTCGGCCAGTCGCTGCACCACCTCCCCTGCCAGCGAGGGGAGCGCCTCCGCCACTGCCACGTACTCGCGAGTGACTGAGAGCAGCGTGCATGCACTGGTGGGGTAGGGGTGGGGAAGGAGAGGATGGGTGTGAGGATGGGAAAGGAAGGAGAGTTCTTCGCTGCACCACCTGCGATGGTAGCGCCTCTGCCACCGCCACGCACTCTCTGGTCACTGAGAGCAGTGTGCATGCACTGGTCGAGGGGCACGGGGGTGGGGGAGGGAAGGAGAAAAAATGAGAGGGTGGTTGAGAAGGAGGTGGGCACAGGACAAGAGACCAGGCGCTGCATCACCTTTCCAAACACCAAGAGCATGTTGGGTCGTTGCAGAAGCACCACCCCACCTGCCGGTCACATGGCAGAACCTGCTGGTAGGGGGGCATGAGGGGCACGCTGCATGCTTCACAAACCTCAATCTCAAACCAGGAACCCACCTGCCAGTGACATGGTATTTCACTCCCCGGCACACGACAGTCTTCACAGCTGCCCTCTTCTGTGCCTTCGGCCCCTCTGCCGATCCAGTGGCAGGGGAAGCAGGGGAGGCAGCAGCAGCAGCAGGAGCAGCAGCAGCAGGAGAGGCAGGCGCAGGAGAGGCAGCAGCAGGAGCAGCAGCAGCAGAAGAAGCTGCTGCTGGCGCTGCTGCTTCCGTTGGTGGTGCAGGTGCTACAGCAGCAACAGGTGGTGCCTCCCCAGCAGCGGTTGCAGCAGCCGAAGCAGCTGCACCTGGCACCGTCTCCCTTCGCTGCAACCCCTCTGCTTCTCCCTCACCTCCCTCCCTCCTCAACTCCCCTCCCTTCTCCACCCCCTCCGCCCCTACCGTCTCAGCCTCCCCTCTTCCTGTTGCTCCTCCTTGCCCCATGACACCTACCCCATCTCCACCAACCTCCGTTCCACCCTCGCAACCTTCTCTTCTCCCTCCCTCAGTCGCCACACTACCGTCCCTTCTTCTGGCATTCGCCTGCCCTTGCCCTTCACTCATATCACCCTCTGCTGCCTGCTCTAGCTGCACCGATTCTTGTGCCCCATCTTCCCTCAGACCATCCCCAGCCTGTGCTAAACCGCCACCTGTCATCGGCCCATTGGCCGCTGCAGTGTCCCGCGCGGCCTCATCTGCAGCCCTATAGCCATCCACAGCAGCCGCAGCAGCATCAGAAGCAGCAGCCATATTAACAGCAGCAGCAGTAGCAGCAGCATCAGCAGCAGCAGCAGCGGCGGCCTCATTAGCAGCAGCAGCAGCAGCAGCAGCAGCAGCAGCAGCAGCAGCAGCAGCAGCAGCAGCAGTAGCGGCATCAGCAGCAGCAGCAGTAGCAGCAGCAGCAGCATCAGAAGCAGCAACAGCAGCAGCCGCATCAGCAGCGGCAGCAGCAGCGGCTTCGGCAGAAGGATCCAGGAAAGTGCAAAAGAAGTCGACGAGGGCTTGAGTGTGAGGAGTGGCATCCACAGCCGTCCATGTCTCCTTGTTGAGCAGTGAGAGGATGAGCGCCATCTGGTGGGATGATAGGGGGAGAATGGAGAGGAGAGGAGAGCGGGGAGTGGGAAGCACGGAAAAGAGAGCGGGGAGTACAGGGGCCCAACAGGTGTGAAGTGAACGCGCGTCTACAGCCGTCCATGTCTCCTTGCCTCTCGCCTTGCCTCTCGCCTTGCCTCTCGCTTCTCACCTTCCTCCTCTGCTACACCTCACCTCCTTCCTCTGTTATCCCTCACCTCTCTTGAGTGGTGTGTCTCCACAAACGCCTTGGCCTGCGACTGTAGCGCGCCCCGTATGCTGTAGCCCAGCCTGCCGCCCACCTGCGGCACAGAGGCAGGGCGAGCGAGGGGAGTAACGAGACAATGTCACCACACACGGCAGCATCAGCTCACCAGCTCCGTTGGTCCAATGAACGCCCAAGTCCCAGCATACATGTCCACCAAGTCGCTGAGAGGCAGCAGCGAGTTCACATTAAAGCACATGTGCCATAACCCGCACATGTGCCATACCCCGCACATGTGCCATACCCCGCACATGTGCCATACCCCGCACATGTGCCATACCCCGCACATGTGCCATACCCCGCACATGTGCCATACCCCGCACATGTGCCATACCCCGCACATGTGCCATACCCCGCACATGAGCCATACCCCGCACATGTGCCATACCCCGCACATGTGCCATACCCCGCACATGTGCCATACCCCGCACATGTGCCATACCCCGCACATGTGCCATACCCCGCACACGGATCACCTAATACCCCATGGCATGTCCCACAAATGAACAGCTCACCCTTTCCGTTGATGCGATGAAGTCGGAGGTGACAGCGTACATGTCCACCAAGTCATTTCCCAGAGGCAGCTTCGAGTTACCTAATACCCCATGGCATGCCCCATGGCATGCCCCATGGCATACCCCATGGCATACCCCACACAACAGCATCTCACCCTTTCCGTTGATGCGATGAAGTCTGAAGTCACAGCATACATGTCCACGAAGTCGCTCAGCGACAGCTTCGGGTGCACCTGTGCTCGCACACCCAGCAGCTTCGCCCACCTCCCGTGCGCCACCTCGCATGCATCGCTCACTGCCTCTGCATTCTCCCTCAGCACGTCCGCTCTGAGGGGGAGAGGAGGGGAGAGAGGGTGGGAGGGTGGGAGGGTGGGAGGATGGGGAGAGGCGGAAGGGAGAAGACCGTGCGCCCATGCGCCACCTCACATGAGTCACTAACTGCCTCCGCATTCTCCTTCAACACGTGGGCTGTGAGGGGAGGGATGGGGAGTGGTGGCGAGAGTAAGGACGGACTGTAACTGGGAGGGGAGAAAACGAAGCACCACCTTGCCTGCGTGCAGTGGGAGGTCAGGTAGAAGCACAGGAGGCAGAGCCCAGGTGGGAACACAGGTGACAGCGGTCAGGTGGGTGGGAGCACAAGGCACCTGAGCTGTTTGGACGTGGCTAAAGCAGTCACGCTGCTCACATCGCCCCCTGCTGCCTCTCCGCTCCCAGCTGCTCCCCCAACGCCTCCTGCCGCCCCTCCCCCTCCCAAGCCTTTCCCCACCCCTTTCCTCCCCAACAGCTTTGACTCAGCAGCCTCGGCAGCCACCACTAGCTCTGCCCCCGAAGCAAACGCCGCAGCCACGGCAGCAGCCTCGTACCCCACGGCAGGCTCGGCAGCCGCAGCTGCAGCACCGGCCGCAACTCCGGCGGTGGCAATGCCAGAAACTACGTTCCGAACGGCTGCCGCCCGCACGAGGCGGGTCTGGACGGCAGAGAAGACGGCCAGCAGCAAGTGGACAAAGGCAGGGGGGGCAAGTGCACGGAGCTTGAGGGCGAGCGATGGCGCTGGGTTGGGGGTGGAGGGGGAGGTGGCAGGGAGGGGAGAGGGGAAGGAGGGGTGAGTTGGGGAAGGAGAGTGGGAGGACGGTGAGGGTTGATTGAATAGGTACATGTTAGTTGGTTGAAAGAAGGCTACATGGGTGGAAGAAAGTGGGTGTGAGACCTCATTCGCATGAAGAAAAACACAAATAATGAGCACAAGGCTGAACCGCCTCCCTTCTTTGAAAAGAAGAGCGTGAAATTGACTCCAAACCAACGCCTCTCTCACAGCAACAGGCTCGCTCCCTTCCCCTCCATATTTCAGAGAAATTACTCCAAATCAACCGCGTCCCCTGGTTCTACCCCCCACTGCACCTCGTGCCTCACTGTTCAGCGCATCGGCTGCAGGCTCGCCCCCTCCCCTCCTCATTGGAAACCCGAAACCCTAAAATGTTCAAATCAGCCCATCCACCTCATCCCATCCCATCCCCCACTGGCCGCATGTCTCACCATTGAGGGCATCGGCTGCAGCGTCGCCCCCCTCTCCTCCTGCACCACCCGGCGCCCCGCCAGCAGCAGCAGCGGCGGCGTGCTGCAGGAAGAGCAGCGGCAGCAGCTCGCCCACCACCGTCTTCACGGCCGCCTTGATGTCCACATTCACTGCATCCCGATAGGCCCGCAGCACTGCCGGCAGGCGCGACTGGAGGGAGCAGAAAAGAACAGGGGTTAGGGAAAGGAAAAGAACGAAAGAGCTTTACGGCCGTCTTGATGTCTGCACTCACTGCATCTCGGTATGCGCGCAGCACTGCAGGCAGGCGCCACTGGGGGAGTGGGGAGGATATGGCGTTAGGGGAGCGCATGGAGATGAACAGCCTTGATGTGTCCGATTCACTGCATCTCGATATGCCCTCAGCACTGCAGGCAGGCGCGACTGGTGGAGGAGAGATGAGAGGGTGGGAGACGGGTATGGGTGGGGGGGAAACAAGGTGAAGGAAGAACGTAACAGCCACCTGAAGCCCCACCCTCACTGCATCCCAGCACACCCCAAACCTCACACTCAACCCCTCACCCCTCACCCCTGGCCCCTTACTGTGCACAGCAGGCTGATGACGAGTGGCAGCAGCAGTTGCTCAAAGACAACCCACCCCACCTCCCTTTCCTCTTCCCACCCTTCCCCTCCTTCCCTTATGTTCGACCTGCATGCCCGGTTCACATGAGAGCCAGTGCTTCGACCCCTAATTCTACACCCAAACCCTCACCCCTGACCCTTGACTAACCGTTCGCAGCAGGCTGATGACGAGTGGCAGCAGATGCTCCCTCAGGCGAGCCTCCCTCTCCTCCATGCCCTCCCGCTGCATGCACCACCATGGATGGGGCGAGGCCACGCATGCTCCAGGCACGGGCAGGGAACGGACGGGGCATAGATGGGGTACGGATGGGGTACGGATGGGGTACGGATGGGGTACGGATGGGGTACGGATGGGGTACGGATGGGGTACGGATGGGGTACGGATGGGGTACGGATGGGGTACGGATGGGGTACGGATGGGATACGGATGGGATACGGATGGGATACGGATGGGGTACGGATGGGGTACGGATGGGGTACGGATGGGGTACGGATGGGGTACGGATGGGGTACGGATGGGATACGGATGGGGTACGGATGGGGCATAGATGGGGTACGGATGGGGTACGGATGGGGTACGGATGGGGTACGGATGGGGTACGGATGGGGTACGGATGGGGTACGGATGGGATACGGATGGGGTACGGATGGGGCATAGATGGGGTACGGATGGGGTACGGATGGGGTACGGATGGGGTACGGATGGGGTACGGATGGGATACGGATGGGGTACGGATGGGGCATAGATGGGGTACGGATGGGGTACGGATGGGGTACGGATGGGGTACGGATGGGGTACGGATGGGGTACGGATGGGGTACGGATTGGGTGCGGATGGGGTACGGATGGGGTACGGATGGGGTACGGATGGGGTGCGGATGGGGTACGGATGGGGTACGGATGCGGTACGGATGGGGTACGTATTGGGCATGGATGGGGCATGGACGGGGCATGGATGGGTCATGATAGGGGCACGCAATGGGTTGGGATCCATGCATGCACGTGGCGGGGCGAGGCATGCGACAGGCATGCATGGGGCGAGACAAGGTATGGACGGAGCAGACACAGAAACAAAGGGCAAAACATGGCAAGACACAGGACTTAGAGAAGCGGAACAGCAGTTCACACAGGAGAACGAGCAACAGACATTCACAAACCTGTGGGCCCAACTATTGAGACGTCTTGGAACTCGATTACTACACACAAGCACAGGCAGGCTCGGGATACTGGCTATGAAGCACGCCAGAACAAGGCTGATTCTGCACGAGTCACCACGCTTTGTATCTATAGTCACACAGTTTCTGCACACACCTCGAGGTTGACTATAGAGAGCAGCGTTGCAGCTGGGGGCACGCTCTTCTGCAGGTTGAAGCTGGTGACTATGGCGGAAGGCGCCACGTCAGCATCATCGTGCACTGCTTCCCGGACAAAGTCAGCTGTAAGGAGGCTGCGAGGGCGGAAGGGAAGGGGGGGGTGAGAGGGGGGTATGGGATGGACGAGAGAAACAGAGGTGACTTCTGAGTGGACTCTCAAGTCACTGCTTCCTGCACAAAGTCAACCGTTAAGAGACTGGGAGGGCCGACGGATGGTGTAGGGGGGAAAGGTAAGGGATGGATGATGAAGTAGAAGCATGCATCGTGGGAGTGATCGTGGATGTCTGGGCGAGTGGAGGCAGGAGGAAAGCAGAGGAGAAACAGTGGCAGGAGGGGAGACAGACCAACCTGTTGACGGCATCGGAGGAGGAGATGAGGTGGTGGGTGAGGTGGCAGAAGCAGTGCAGAGAGGGATGTGAGAATGGCAGGAGGGTAAGAGAGGGAAACATACCTGTTGACGGCGTCGGAGGAGGAGAGGAGGAGGTCGTTGAGGGGGCGGAAGCAGTGCAGCCCGGCCAGCTCCTGCCCCTCCATGAGGCGCCTCAAGTCGTCCATCACGTCTAACGCGCCCGCACAGTCGCCCGAGGACACCAGCTGATGGGATGGAAGGGCGGTGGGATGTTGAGGAGTCAGAAAGGGGCGTTGGGCAGCAAAGAAGGATGGGAGGGCAGGAAGCAGGGGGTGCATGTGGCAATAACGAGCACCCACCAGCTCGCCGCCGTCCATGAGGCGTCCATCTCATCCACGTGCAGGCACAGTCACCTGATGACACCAGCTCATGGGATGGCTTCTTACCCAACTGCTCCTTACCAGCTTCAATGTCGCCATGGCCTGGTGAACGAATGCCACCAGCTTCAGCTTCTGATGCAGCTGCAGCAGATTCTCCCGCCGAACCTTGGTCGACTGCAGCTTCCGCGATCCTTCCAGCAGATCCTCGTCCAGCATCCCCACCGTGCCGCGCAACAGACGGATGCGATCGCACGTCTCCACGATCCCACGGTTCAGATCTTCCAGTTTTTCCAGGGCCTCGAAGAACGAGTCGGAGCGAGAAGAGATTTCTTTAACTAAGTGCACCTCGACAAGGTCTAAGTAATGCGATAATTTCTCCTGTAGAAGCATATTTGCGGGAATGGAGGGAGACGGGCAGACCGTATCAAATATCTCCTTCCGCTCAAGAGCAAAATGCTCGTCGAAATAAACCGGGGGTATTTCCCTGAGGCACGCTGCTAGACCCTGACCTTCTGACCGCGATGCTAGAATACCCTTCCCTTTCCGTTCCTCTCTCCCTTCGCTGTCCACGTCAGCACCTGGTGCCTCCCCAGTGGCCAACTCCCACGTGGAATGTTCCTGTACGTCCACGAATCGTCCGTACGGCTCCCGCATCCGCTGCAAATACGGCTGAAATTCCGACATGGGAAAATCCTGAATTTCCGGCGGCAAAGGCGGAGGACCCTCTAGAACCGGCTCCAGCGGCCGCTGCGCGGTAATCCAGGTCCACGCGTTCTCGGTTCCGTAAATTCCGGCCTTGCCGAGGCGCGGGTCGTTAAGAACCGACGCGAGGCTCTGGCCGGATGAGTACGCGAGTGCTTCCATCTCCTTGTGGCTGCGCGGCGTCGACGCGGCGCTCGAGCCATTTGCGGATTCCTGCACGTTCCCTGCGCTCCGCGAAACACGGAGGCCCGATTCTGGTGTGGTGGGAAGGGACAACTGCGCAGGATGCGCGGCAGCTGACGTGTCCATGGCGATTGGATCGCGGACGGTACTGTTCAGGTTAGGAGTGAGTTGTAACAGAGCCCATTGGCTTGACGGGTCGTCGATCGATCCTGTCAGAATGAGTGGCTGACTTCCTTGCGTGACAGAAACGTTGATGCAAATCTAATATCTAGAGAAGCTACTGACAACGGCTCTTGGAAACGCGACTTGAACATTATAAAGAGGATTCCGCCATTCGGTTTGCTGGCTGCAATTTGAAGGTGTGAGAAATAGATGTGACCTGAGGAGACGGAGAGAAACTGAGGTGGGGAAACCAGGTTGACGGTCGCCGTTTGAACTGCCGGACAGAGAATGACTTGGGACGGCTAAGCTGTGCAAATTCTGTCAGAGCCCAGTTTTCGCGCCTTTCGCCTGTCGTCAGTTCCCGAACAACAATTCCAAGAATCAGAATGAATACACCAACGAGCCTCAATTGCTCGCACGTTTGGAATATATTACACAAATTAGAGCGATTTACAATATGAATTTATGAATTGCTTCTGCGATACCATCTTCGTCGTTGCTTGCAACTGTGGCCTTGGCAACAGCCTTGGTCTTCTCGGAACCATTCGCCATAGCCACTCCCCAACCCACCATCTCAATCATTTCAAGATCGTTCTCACCATCTCCAATCGCCATAACCTGCAACGGATCACAAGTGGCAAGATTTATTAATTGACGTAACGTAAGACTCATGAACAACATGGATGAGGGGGCATGCATGTGTGTGAGCGTGTGCACGCATGCGTGCCTCTGTGTGTGTGTGGGAAGGGGAGGGGGGGGGGGGGGGGGGGGGGGTGCGTGCGTGCGCGCCCGTGTGTGTGTGTGTGTGTGTGCGCTCGTGTGTGCGCTCGTGTGTGCGTGCGTGTGTTAGCGTGTGTGTGTGTGTGTGAGTGTGTGTGTGTGTGTGCGCGTGTGTGCGTGCATGTGTTAGTGTGTGTGTGTGTGTGTGTGTGTGTGTGAGTGTGTGTGTGTGTGTGTGTGTGTGTGTGTGAGTTGCATACAGGAAAAAGGGGGTAGCGAAAACGATGTGATGAGGACTGGTACACCACATGAGTAATTGGAGAACAGACCTGCTCAGCAGAGAGCTTGAGATGGTCCAGCAGCACTCGCACTCCCGCCCCCTTGGATTGCCCGGGCGGCAGGATCTCCAGCATGTCTGGCACTGCCTGGGTCACTGTAGCACGGCCGGCTGTAGCGGCCGACCAGAAAGGACGAATGAAGCCGTCAATGCCATGCGGCGTGTCGTAGAAGAGTAACTTCTGCTTGAAGGACAGGCGATGGGGAAAGGGAAGAAGAGAAGCAGGAGAGAGTAGTAAGAGAGAGGGAAGAAAAGTGATACAAAAGGTCTTCATAAAGGATAACGAACAGCTGCTGGGTTCACCTCATTGCAGCTGGCGGGGTCACCTCGTTACAGTGTCACATGGCATGGCTGTCGGGCTCACCTGGATGGGGGTCTCGTTAATGATGTGGTGCACACTCGGCATCACCTCCGCCTGCCACACACACATAAACACGCAAGGAAACAGGAGTAAGCAAATATAAGGGAAATCAACATGACATGAAAATCACATTGCATGTACACACACAAAAATAGGAGCACATGAGCAACATGAACAGAACGAAATAAAATCGCAGGGCATGTCATGGTAAGGACATACCCGTGGCTCGTAGTAGATGGTGTGCAGCGCCTCCACCAATGGGTGATCGACAAGTGTCACACAGCGGTCCCCGCAGAAGCCAATCAGCGCCTTGCCGTGCTTCAGAGCGAACTCAAAGCCCTGTGGGGCGGAGGAAGGGCGGTGAGAAGGCATTGAGGTAGAATTGGAGAGATGGATTCAAATCGAACTCCTGTACTTCACCTTGGAGAGTGACAACGTGAGGGCAGGAGTCTCCTGCCAGTGGAGGAGGATGGAAGCATAACTTGCCTCCTTTACTGCACCGTCTTAGCTGCACGCACCCACACACATGCGCATAAAGTGGGGAGCGGCACACACCTCCTGAGTGACCTCGCTGGGCAGCAGCGCGTTGTGCACCACCTGGCCTCCCTTGCCATAAACCCTCAGACCCTGGCAGGTTGTAATCACACACAAGCAAGCATGCATGCATGCCAGGGCACACACATGCAGAAACAACATGCAAACATCCAGGAACGCAAGAGGAAAGGGTCAAAACTTCAAAGTAGAGCGGCATAGGCACCCATAAGCAGGATCCAAAGGTAGCAGCCCACATGCAGGAACGCCGTGCAAAATACATCAGTCATTATTCGATAACTCGAGCAGCCACCACCCCCCCCACAGCAACCAGCCTTGCAGCAACCAGCCTTGCAGCAACCAGCCTTGCAGCAACCAGCCTTGCAGCAACCAGCCTTGCAGCAACCAGCCTTGCAGCAACCAGCCTTGCAGCAACTAGGGAAAACGTTGCAGCAGCCTCGCATTGCCCGTGGGCCATGGCCATGGGCACCTCAGGAGTAAGCGAGACTCTGGAGGCAAGTAGCTGTAACACCCCTATTCCGAAGCAACTTATGCTTCTGGCAGACCTGCAGGAACACCCGCTGAAGATCCCAGCAGAACCAACCATTCCTACAGCGCCCAGGCCAGACATAGCAGCTGGTATTGCCTTCCCCGTGGCAATGGCAACCTCAGGAGTTCCCGAAAGCAGCACCCTTACTCTAAATCGACTTGTGTGTGTTACACACCTGCAGGAACACCCCCGGGGACTTGTCGCTGAAGATGCCAGCAGCACCAACCAGCCCGGCAGCGCCCAGGGCGGACATGGCAGCTGGCCTCGCCTTCCCCGTGGCTATGGCCACGCGCACGCCCCTGGCGTGTGCTGCTCTCAGTGCCTCCGCTGTGGATGGAGCGATCTTGCTGGCGCTGTTGAGGAGCGTGCCTGGGAGGCAGATGCGGGGGGGAAAGGAAGGAATATGGGAGGAGAATGCAGATGAGAGGCGTGGTACAGTGCACGCCCTTGGCATGTGAGCGCTCGGGGCCTCCACTGTGGGTTGCTGGCGCTGTGGAGCAGCGTGCCTGGCAGTGTGCCTGGCAGCGGAAGCAACGGAAGGAGCAGACAGACGCATTTGGTGTGTGTTAATTGAGAGCCCACGCTCACTCTCGTTGCACATCACACCATCCCTGCCCCACATGCCATCCACACACCACACATACCATCCACACACCACACGTACCATCCACACACCACACGTACCATCCATGTCGCACAAGAGCAGCTGGAACGGGGCTTTCTTGGTCCGCCTCTTCTCTCCCGTCTCCTTTCCCCTCTCCTTCTCCTTCTCTTTGCCCTTCTTATGCTCTCTCTCCTTCTCCGCCCCAAAAACAAGCACTTTCCCAGCCTTTTCCCCCTTCTCCTTCCCCTTCTCCTCCTTCCCCTTCCCATGCTTGCCCTTTTGTTTCCCCTTGTGCTTCCCCGCGCCACCTTCCTCACCACCCCCCCCCTCTTCCCCCTCCCCTGTTACTGTCACAAATCTTGTCCACCCTGCCATAACCAAGCACACAGAGGACATGAGAAGAAGCTTCTCAGCAATTTCAAGGCATTTAGCAACAACTGTCACACCTCAACTCCCTTGCATTCCTTTCCTCCACTTGCATCCATTCCCCTCCATTCCTCTCCTCGCCTCTCCATTCCTCTCAACCTCTTTCCATCCCTCGCCACCCCTTGCACCCATCCCCACACACCTTGCACCATGCCAATCCTTGTCATCCTCGCCTTCACACCCCCCTTCTCACCCTCCTCCCCTCCTCCCTCCGCTCTTCCCTTCTCTCCTCCCTCCCCTCCTGCCTCCCCTCTTCCCTCTCCCCCCCCCACTCCTCCCCCCTCCTCCCCAATAGCAGCTGCCACCAACCCCATCCCCCGCCACGCAAACGCCTCCAAAATCCGCAGCTCCTCTGTTGCCATCTGTTCTGCTGACTCACGCACCGCCGCCGCCAGCTCAGCTTCTGACATCACTGAGTCAGCAGCGCCCTGCGAAGTTCCCTTTGGTGCCTCGTGGTCGTACCCTAGCAGATGCAGCATGCCGTGCACCTGTGGGGGTTGGGGGAAGAGGGGGAAGGTGGGGCAGGGAGGGGGAGGGTGAGGGGGAGGGGGAGGGGGAGGGGGAGGGGGAGGGGGAGGGGGAGGGGTGTGGGAAAGGGGAGGGGGAGGGGGGTGGGGAAGGGGAAGGGAAGGCACAGAGGAGGCATTGGTCATACCCCAGCAGATGCAGCATGCCGTGCACCTGTGAAGGGGAAAAGTTGAAGAGGAGGGTGGAATGAGGAGAGGAATGAGGGAAGGGTGAGGGACAAGGCCACAACGGTCCCAGGAGATGCCGCATGTCGGAGCTGCTCGAGACTTCTCAAAAGCAACGCCATCTGTGGTAGTAGTACCGGAGATCACTGGGGAGCGTGGGATTATGGGACTGGTCGCTCTCTGTGACGTGACCACAGGAGATGTTACCATGAGGAGGAGGAGGAGGAGGAGGAGGAGGAGGAGGAGGAGGAGGAGGAGGAGGAGGAGGAGGAGGAGGAGGAGGAGGAGGAGGAGGAAGAGGAGGAGGAGGAGGAAAGACGTTTGGAAATGCCATTTGCAAGAGCGTCACCGCGACCACGTTACCATGAGAATGCGAAGCTCGTCCAAAAGCGAATGCCCTCTCTCATTGGCTTGCCGCTGTGCCATCTCCACCGATATAATCACATCGCCTAAAAGCAACTGCAGCACAGGAGGTGGTGCGATGGGGCCAACAGAGGGAGGAGGAAAACAACCAGTGGACGGTAGTTTTGTGTCAAAATACGACTACCAACAACACTAGGCAATGGTGGGATGAACGAGGCCGAAAGGCGGGATGAACGAGGCCGAAAGGCGGGATGAACGAGGCCGAAAGGCGGGATGAACGAGGCCGAAAGGCGGGATGAACGAGGCCGAAAGGCGGGATGAACGAGGCTGAAAGGCGGGCGTGTGGGAGGATGAGACAGAGGCAAGAAGCAAAAGCTGGCACAACTAGAGGCTATGCTGAAGCAAGCAGGGGAGTAAAGTGAGTAAGTTACTAGTAGTTGCCTTACCAGAGGGGAGAGTCCCGGAGGCTGGTCTTGGGGGAAGGAGAGCACGTCCGTGGGCGCATCTACACCCCGCCACTCGTTATTGAGCTCCCTGATACAAGCGTCCGTGCACAGCAGCACGGACATCTCCGCTGCCGCCACCCCGGTACCGCTCTGCACCTCCTCGAACTCCTCCATGGCCAGCGCCAGCGCGGACGCCGCATCCAGGCGCAGCTCCTCCGCCAAGGCCTGGCGGAGGAGGGGGCAATGGGGGGGGAGTGGGGAGGGAAAGGGGAGGGGAGGGGCGCGGGTGGGGGGAGGAGCGTAGGGAGGGGTGAGGGAATGGGAGTGCTGGGTGAGGGGAAGGAGTGCTGGGTGAGGGGAAGGAGTGCTGGGTGAGGGGAAGGAGTGCTGGGTGAGGGAATGGGAGTGCTGGGTGAGGGGAAGGAGTGCTGGGTGAGGGGAAGGAGTGCTGGGTGAGGGAATGGGAGTGCTGGGTGAGAAGAAGGAGTGCTGGGTGAGGGGAAGGAGTGCTGGGTGAGGGGAAGGAGTGCTGGGTGAGGGGAAGGAGTGCTGGGTGAGGGGAAGGAGTGCTGGGTGAGGGGAAGGAGTGCTGGGTGAGGGAATGGGAGTGCTGGGTGAGGGGAAGGAGTGCTGGGTGAGGGGAAGGAGTGCTGGGTGAGGGGAAGGAGTGCTGGGTGAGGGGAAGGAGTGCTGGGTGAGGGAATGGGAGTGCTGGGTGAGGGGAAGGAGTGCTGGGTGAGGGGAAGGAGTGTTGGGTGAGGGGAAGGAGTGCTGGGTGAGGGGAAGGAGTGCTGGGTGAGGGGAAGGAGTGCTGGGTGAGGGGAAGGAGTGCTGGGTGAGGGGAAGGAGTGCTGGGTGAGGGAATGGGAGTGCTGGGTGAGGGGAAGGAGTGCTGGGTGAGGGGAAGGAGTGCTGGGTGAGGGAATGGGAGTGCTGGGTGAGGGGAAGGAGTGCTGGGTGAGGGGAAGGAGTGCTGGGTGAGGGGAAGGAGTGCTGGGTGAGGGGAAAGAGTGCTGGGTGAGGGGAAGGAGTGCTGGATGCTACCGCAGGAAGGAGTGGAAGAAAAGGAAAAGGATTCACGAAGCGGGATTTTCCGACATGCGGGACAGCAAGCAGGTCCTTTGACAAGCCGGCCAAGGAAAAGCTTTTAGCCTCCCAGGGCTTTAGGCTGGCGCCAGCACGTACCCATCTCCTGCGAGGCTCCTCCCGCGAGGGTCCTCCTACGAGGGTCCTCCCGCGAGGGTCCTCCTACGAGGGCCCTTTTACGAGGGTCGATCACTCCTCCTCACCTTCCATTTGTCCGTCTGCTCTCGCGCCGCCACCTCCGCCGCCAGTCCCTCGTCGATAATCACCGCCGCCATGAAATCAACGTCACTCGCGCCTCCAGCGCCGCCGCTTCCGCCATCGCCCCCCTCGCCGCGCAGTTCCTTCCCCGCAGCTTCCCCGCCTCCGCCGCTGCTCCCCCGCCCGGAACTAACTTCCACTTTGCCATCGTTGTCCCTTTCCCCCGTCGCGGCATCGCTTTTCGACGCAAACGCCCTAACGAGCTGCCCTCGACCTGCTCTTAGCGCGTACCCAGTTGCAGGCGGTGACGGAATTAAACCGCTAAGACTCCGTAGGCTGGTTGGAACAGCTACGCGGCGCGAGGACAGGTAAGTGCCGTTGCTGCCTCCTACAGCGTTAGATACTGCAAAGGCATCTGCAACGGGGACCACTGACGAAATCTCACGTCCCAAAAACGACACCGGCAGTCGGCTTGTATTGGGGCCGAAAACGGGAACGTCTCGCAAGGACAGCGCGCCATGGCCCGCTGTGATTGGTCGAACAGACCGGACCGTCCGCAGGATGCTACCGAGGCGGTGCATGGGCGACTGTGCGACGGCTTGCGACGATGGCAGCACGGCGGATTTCATTTGAGCTGCCGCCAGCGAGCAGCACCACAACGCTTCTCCTGCTGCTGCTGGTGGAGCTCAGCACAGATTATGCCTTGATGGTGAAGGTGGCTTTTTGCGTAAAGCAGAAACGGTGTCAGGAAGGGAAACTCCCACGTCATGGAGCTCGGCATTCGAGGAAATGACAAATCGCCCTGTTTACGAGTTTCCGATTCCTTTTGGCAGTGGTTTTGACACCGCCTCGCTTTTCCGCTCGCGTCCGATTCCTTGGGGCAGTTTTTTTTCGACAATCCCAATTTCCTGTGACTAGGGACATTATAAAATATACCTGGCAAAAAATAAACCCCTCTCGGATGGCTGGCCATTTGGGAGGGATCAGCCCTAAACACCTTGCCTCATGGTGTTTAGGGTTGATGCCTCCCAAATGGCATGCCATCCGTGAGGGATATATATATTTTTTGTCCCGAGCTGCTCGTTATTGACGCGACGATATTATTCGGGATATCCCATTACACATGATGCCCAACTCGTGCACTCGAATTTGCCTTGCACCGGATGGAAACGCTGCACCCGAGGTTTTGCCCCCGGGAAGTTGCTCCCACGGTACAGGCACATGGATGGCATAGCACAGTGGACGCGCTTCGACCAAAACTGAACGTGCATCACAGACCAAACCAGGTTGGCCCAGGTTTGCCCTGTTTCTAGGCTAGAGTACAGACTTGCGAAAGGGGTGGACGAAACGTCGTCAGCATCGTGCGTGCATTCGCCTGACGCTCACTGTCACGTAAGGTGGGTTCAACGTGCGTAAAACAGACAAGAGGGTAGGAGACATTCCTAAAGTTCTCAAAAGCTTCACCTGAGACATGGGGTCACAGGTTAAGCTAGTGCGCGGCGTAGCAGAATGCAAAGGGCCACAGAAATGGGGGGGCACTGGCATGAATCATGGAGGTACGAGCGATCTACATGAATCAAGACTCAGCGACCCTATTCTGTTGCGGCGAGTCCGGATGCGAGAACGGCTGGCGGATTCCCTACGCGCTACAAAACTGCTCAATCCGACCGGAGGTGAACTCGCCACCCTAGTCAGAGCGCAGAGGAAGCACAGGCTGGGAGCGCTGGGTGCGGACGGCCACTAGCCACGGGAGGAGACGTCGGCCTTCCGATGTAAGGGAAACAACATGGCGTAGCGGGAAAAGGCATCCACAACTACAAAACAGATAGCGCTCCTCACACTGTCCAGCGAAAGGGGCAGGGCAGGGCGAAATAATAACAATGCATTACATTGAAATATATTGTCCTAGCTAGCCATGTACGCTGAGGATTACATTCCCATATTCAACTGTATTACAGATAAAAGTACAGTAACGGTGACTATTTTGATGCCTGACGGTTACCATGTTGCAGTGCGAAACCTCCGAGGCATGTTATATGAGTGCAACACGATAATGGGAGAGCGCATTCTTTATGAGGTAATGCGCTACGGCCGTACCTTAGGAACGTTGAATAATATGTCGGTTATTCCAACAAACATGAACACACAAACAATCAAGCGACCAAACGAGCACGCGTATGCGACTTATAGTCCTAGAAAATATAAGGATGAATCGGGATTGTTCAAAAGGCTCGAAAAGAGGAGGTTCGTGTTGCAATCAGAAAGTTGATCGAGCCTAGGATCACGTCAGAAAGGTTCGTAGAGATTGTGTTGCAGCGGAACTATTGACCTCAGGCCAGAGTTAAATTTAAAATGACTGAGATAATTGAAACAAAGCCATACATAGGTTTATATAATAGTAGAAAGGAATACGAAACGACCTAGACTAGCCATGTACTCTAAGGGGTGCATTCCCTTATTGCAGCAAAATATAACCGTGCGACTCCAGACGGTTACGAACCTGTTCCCGCCACAATCCTTGCTGCAGCAGCTGCCCGATGCATCTGCTCCGATGGTCCAGATGCTGCTAACCGTACGCGACTCTTTGCGTCATTCCGACCTTCCGCATTCGTACTCGTCTTTGCAATCCTCGCTTGCTACTGATAGGAGTGCATAGTGTTTCTCATTTCACTATCCGTAACACCCCCCACCCCCTTTCACTCCTGGCCGTAGCAAGTTTTGACTCGCTTGACCACTCCGCTGAGTTCGGAACAGTGCAGGAACTGCTGACGGGGCAGTCGCTTCGTGAGGAAGTCGGCTACCATGTCACCCGTTGGGCAGTAGGTCAAATCGACCTTACCTTTGTCAACTTCGTCCTTGACGAAGAAGTACCACAGTGCGATTTGTTTGGTGCGGTTGACGAATCCCGACTTGTTCGCGATTCTGATCGCGCTCTGGTTATCGCAGTGCAGGCGAAAGGTTGGCGAAGTTGGAATTTTCGCCTCCTGTAGGAGCTCCTGCAAGTAAAGTCCCTCGCGAACTGCTACTGTCGCGGCGATTAATTATGCTTCCGCCGATGACAGGGCAACCAGCTCTTGCTTTTGCGAGTTCCAGGAGATGGGTCCTGTTGGTTTGAGGCGGAACAGGAACCCGGTTCTGGATCGTCGATTGTCGGGGTCTGCAGCATGATCGGCGTCCACGTAGCCGACCAGATTGAAAGAGAGAGTCGCGACTGTGGAGTAGCAGAGCCCAATGTTGGGCGTGGAGATGAAGAATTGCAGTGCGCGCTGAAGATCTAGAAGGTTTTCAGCCGTTGGTTTGCGTGAACACTGAGCTAGCTGGCTCGCGATGTAGGAGAGATCTGGCCTGCAGGTCACTGAGGCAAACAGCATGCATCCCAGCTGCTGCTGGTAAGTGTGAAGGCCTACACGGGATAGGGCTTCGTTGTCGGGTTTGTGGTTCGGTCCGGGCGTGCGGTAAGGGGTGGAGAGTGGTGCAGGGGAGATGTTGAACCACTTCTCGAGTGTTCCAGCGTACTTAGCAGCTCAGAGGTGAATGGCCTCTGGCGCGTAGGTGATATTAAGGCCCAGGAACTGCTTCACCTCGTGATTAGTGGTGATGTCGATACGCATCGCCATGTTCTTCTCGAACTGGTCGAGCAGCGTGTTGCTCATCCCTGTGTAGAGCAAGTCGTCGACATACACGGTGAGCAGGATGTAATCGCCGCAAAAATGTAGGCGATACATGTCTGGATCGTGCGGCAGCTGCGTGAATCCTATTTCAAGTAGGATTTTGTGCACGTGCTGCTGCCAGAGCCGTGGTGCTCGTTTAATCCCGTAAAGGGACTTCTTCAGCTGACACACACGCGGGTCCCCTTCGCCGTAGGTGTGCGGCTGCTCCATGAAAATCACTGTATCCACTAATGCGTATAGGAACGCATTCTTCACATCGATTGGGCGGAGAGGTAAGTGCCTTGCTGCAGCGATGGCGAGCAGGATTCTGACGGAGGTGTGATGGCTGACCGAGGCGAAGGTTTGGTCAAAATTGATGACGTGCCTTTGATCGTATCCGCATACCACCCAGCGCGCTTTGAAGCGCTCGATCGTCCCGTCTGCCGCAGTCTTCACGCGGAATACCCACTTCCCCGAAAGCACTCTCCGTCCTTTGATTGCTGCGCGGTCGACGAGCACCCAGGTATCTCGTGACTCAAGTGCCTTGATTTCCGCATCCATGGCGGCACGCCACTCCTTGCTGTGCGGTCCCGTCAGCGCTTGTCGCGGATTCTTCTGCTCGATGACGCGTGGGGCCGTGGAGGTGGCGGTGTGAAGTCCTAGCAGCTGAAGTCCTGAGACGGTGCTGTCGTGGCGATGCTGCGGGACGACCTCCTGCACGTCGTCATCGTCGCTCTCTGCACTGGTGGAGAAGGCGGCGCGGGATCCCTGCTGCTTCCTCCCGGAGGTCCCGGAGGAGAGTTGTCGCTGTCCTCGTCGTCGTCGTCGTCATCGTAATCGCCGTCGATGTCAGGGAATTCACTGATGTTGTCCTGCTCCAGAATGGCAGCGGCTGCTTCGTTTTCGGGGGTAGCATAGCTGTGCCCGTCATTTGCGTATATGCGATTTGCGCCTGCCTGCTCGTCCGCGCGGTACTGAGCGAGATTAAGTCGCTCGTTGAAGATGGCGTCGCGCGCATTTGTAATTTTGTTGCTTAGCAGGTCGAGGATGATCCACGCCTTGTATTCGTAGCTGATGCCCAGATGAATGCCCCAGCGTGCTCGGCTTGTGAACTTGCCAATGGTTGAGGTGGGGGGCCGATACTGCACCATGCACCCCCATACACGGAGCATGGAGGTGTCGCCTTTCTTGCCCGTCCATTTCACATGCGGCGACATGTTCCCTGTGATTGCCGTAATCGAGAGGAGGTTGAGCACGCGCACGGCGTGGTGCATCGCGTACGGCCAGTAGGTGGCGGGGAGCTTCGACTGCTTCAGTAGCGCGCGCACCTTCGTCATGAGGGTGCGGTTGGTGCGTTCGGCGACACCCTGCTGCGGATGCGCGTAGGGGAGGGAGACGTGGTGCGAGATCCCCTTTTGCGCCATGTA